AGTTTTACATAGTTTCCTGCAGTTTTAGGTGTGCTGATCACGAAAATGACTTCCAATTCCATCCCAGACCTTTACTTTTCCCAAAATTTACCAATTTGTGACCAAAATTTCAAAGTTGAGTTTCCCATTGTTTCCTGCAGTTTTCAGTAAGATAATCACGAAAATGACATGAATTCCGGCCCTTTCGTGACGGAAGACACTGTATTGGCCTTATTCTGCACATATTCTTCGCCATCTCCTTTAAGAATGTGTTCAGACGCATCGCTCGCCTACTACGCGCCCAAACTAAACGGCGCGTACCCCTAGTTATTTTGACGATAAATTTACAGGGTGCTCTTGTAGAGTAGTGGTCATCGACAAGGAAGTCCAAGCAAACGTTTTTTGCCAGTGTGGGTTGCCTCCGGTGAGCCAGCTGATGCGGGGCCAAAGAAGCTGATCTCCACGTTTTCGGAACGCCCCTTCCTTTTAGGGTGTACTGTCGCTGGGACGCGGGAGGCCGGTCAGGCCCGCTCTAAACTCCCAGGGCTCGCCAAGGCCTCAGGCCGCCTGCTTCACACTGAGAAAACCTTACAAACTATTTTGGGCCTTACAAAGAAAAGTAGTTTGTATAACAAAGTATTTTGAGCATACGTAAGCTTACAAAGAAAATACTTCGTAATTTACGAACTATTTCTTCGTATAACAAAGTATTTTAGTTTGTTATACGTATGCTCAAAATACTTCGTAAGGTTTTAAGAGTGCAGCGTTAGCAGCGTAAGGCGCCGGTGGATGGCCTGGGCGTGCTGGCTCTCCCACCCTCGAAGAAAAAGAGTACTTACAAAAAATTAATATTACGCACTCTCAGACTCGCTTGGTTTTAACATTTTGTCAGCAGCACCTCAAGTAATTTAAGCAACAATAATGCGTAATTTTCGCTTTGGTTATTATTATTTCCATATTTGGAGTCTTAGTGCTTATTGACAAAAAAATTTTCTTCAATAATTTTATGCAGTAAATTGTACGTGTCCAAGAATGAATTACTACATATTACTGTTGTAGGCAATAGTACCTGGTTACTGACGACAAAGTCAGTAACAAGCTGAGAGTGTGTATACTGCAGCGGACCCACTTAAAGTGATGAGAACAAACCGAAGCAACTAGGACCAGCGAGCTTTGTGAACATGTTACCGAAGTCCCTCGTGTTTTGGCAGAAGCGTCCTTCCATACGCAGACTGCGCGGGAGGTCTCCTCTCTCTCTCTCTCTCTCTCTCTCTCTCTCTCTCTCTCTCTCTCTCTCTCTCTCTCTCTCTCGCACTCATAGGGCGTAGCCTTCGGGTGCGAGACAGAGACAGCCTGCAGCCAGCCAGCCCCCGGGTCCCTGACCCTGCTGGACTCTTATTACCATTGGCCATGGAAATACACACACAACTTGACGCTGCCCTTTCGGTCGTCCGCTGTCTCTCTCGCACTCGCGGGCAGAGCGACGAGGCGGCGGCGGGCGCCTTCGGGTCGGACCTCATCACCCTGGCCGGCTCGGTCCCGAGCTCGGTCCAGCACGTCTAGCGTTCCCCTCCCAGTGGCGTAGCGTACCCCCAAGGCAGCACTCTGCACCGCCACGCCGATGCGTCATCTGAGTGGCGAGCCTGTAGGACAAGCAGTCCCTCTTAGCCGCGTGCTGCGCCGTGCTGCGCGCCGCTGTGAGGGCGGACATGTATTGCCCAGACTGATTCCGAGTGCTCTCTCTCTCTCTCTCTCTCTGTCTCTCTCTCTCTCTCTCTCTCTCTCTCTCGCAGGTCAACGCTTCCTCCGGGCGCTGCGGCTGCTCTGCCATAACCGAGCGTCGTGCATGTTGCAAGGCTGTGTGTCTCTGTCTCTCTTCAACCAACAGTGTCACACAGCCCTTCCTCTCCTTTCTGCACACACACACACACACACACACACACACATCAGGAGGCCAAGTGAAGATGTCCTTGTCCAGCTAGACCGCTTTCCACTGCGCGAACTGTGAACGAGGACGAGCAGGGCGCCGCAATATTGAGATGGAAGGAAGACTTTCCCTTTTTCTTGCACCCACCCCTTCCCCCTCCCCCACCCTCCAGAAACGTCGTCCGTGCAAGTAGCTGGTCGAGCTGGTGCAAGACGATGGCTTCGTGACTCCCGTTTCTCTCTTCTTCTTCTTCTTCTTCT